ATCTGAATTTTTTTGGTTGGTGGAAAATAGAGGAGTTGAACCAATTCCTAATAGCTAGTCTAAAAGGGAGCTAAATTATGTGAGGACAAATCGAAAGTAGTTTTCTTCTTAAAAATCGCATATATCTACCATCAGAGAGTTGAATTATAGTGCACATATTTGGAAAATGCATTTAGAACTGAGTGAAAGTGCGCACAGTTTATTGCACCATCACATTATCGTTTCTGGTAATCAAAATTACACACAAAATTTGTTGTCCATGTCTATTTTTTGCTCACCTACATTACCATGCCTTGCTGCAACTTCAAATAACGTTGGTAACATTCCAAGTGTATGTGAAGCATTGCACTCCAGCATCGTTATTTGGCATTATCTGTGTATTCGCTATGCTCGTTGCATAAAATATTCATACGATTATAGTGTATTTTGGCCCTGCTTATTGAGAAAATATATACTACACTGAACGGACATGAGCCGAGAAAGTCAAATGGTAACCGGATCTGATCAAATTATTTATCATCAAAAGCCCATTTTTCAGCTACCTCCCCATCTTTAACAGCAATGTTACATATATGACGGAGAGATGAGCAGGGCTTCTCCATATTTACTCGACAATTCCTGCGAAAGATAAAAATGCCGATTTTGTTTCGACTACGTACATTGGAAACTGCTGCAAATGCGCCTAAAAAACTTACGAAACATATAAAAAAAGTCAACATCTATGGGAATAATAACCACATCTGTAATAACATATACAAAATGAGTGAGAGTGTGATTTTGTACGTGTCAGCATAGATGCAAGAAGTGCGGGTACGTGCCTGACGACTGATTGAGAATAAAGTTCTAATTAAACATAGCACTAAGTCTATAGCCAGCAGAGAAATTCGGGTCGCAAGAAATTCAGTGAATAAAATCTGCACCAGGGCAGACAATTCATAACTACCAAGGAGCGAAGTAAGTACCGTGTACACGAGCACGCTTTCCGGTTTCGTAAAATCTATCCTTCTTATAACTTAGTTTTGGAAACTAAAGTGAAGAGGAGGGAATGAAGGAAAGGCAAACTGAAAGAACACATAATTTTGAAGGGTGAAACAATAGCTTACGTGATTTTTCATTTTCTTCACTTATCAACTTCCTTAGCCTTAATCGTAAAGGATCGCCAATAGAAAAGGATTCCCATATTCCGTCCTTTTCATTATCCTTTTCGTTGCAGGAATCAGAGGCAGTGCCAGAGTCAATTGCCAAGACGAAGAGAAACCTGTTAAACATCGATTTCGTCGTTTGTCTCTCTGTTTTACCAACTGACTATCAGTCACCCAAACCGACTTTAAGTAGATGGAATTACAATCCCTTTATTACAGATAAAAAAGCGGGCTGCGGCAGCCCTAAAGTCGCTGGACCATAGTGACCATTAGCTCATGGAATACATCTGATTGAATAATCAACACCTGTGTTGTCATGACAGTCAGTGTTTCCAAATTCTTGCTTAATCTTGTCAAG